AAAATATGAATGGATATTTTATTCATATATATATACTTACCTTATAAGTCTCAAGAAAAGTTAATTTTCGTGAAAACAAAGGTAGAAATTGTGATTAATGCATGGAAAATACTCTAAATTGTGCGATTTTAAAAAGACTGTAGTTCTTGAGAGTGTGGGTGTCGGTGTGAATGTGAGTGAGAGATTGATATATCACCCACACCCACACCCACACCCACACCCTTCATGTTATAAAAAATATGGTTGCACAGCTTTGAGCTGGTTACTTCTCTGTGAGTCTTCTAATGAGTTCTACCATTTAGTCTTTTCTATAGTCAACCATTTGATTTTGATAAATCTAATAAAGAATACCGCATATTTTAGGGGGTGACTGTGTTAAATGTAATAATGATGTAATGGCTTGCATTGTTGCCAAGAATCCAGGCAAAAGTTCATGTTGTGCAAAGAACAATTGTGGTACCAAACATAGACGCTGATTCATTTAAATTATTGAACTCAATCTTTGATTCTATTGTCATTTTTTAACTTCATTGAATAAAATTTAGTTCGATTGATGAATCTTTGAAAGATTCACTAAAGAAAATCCAATTTATTATTCTCTTGTAGACATAAAATTATATCTGCTATAAATAACTGACGTGAGATGAGTTTTATCGTTTGATCTTTATGTCAGTGTATTTTCTTGTAGCAGTTCTGATGTAATTTGTAATTCAGATAGAATTTATAGAATAAAATCTTTTGATATCTTTCTCAATCCATTATTGTTATAAATTATAGGGTGTGGGTGTGAAAGAAAGACAACACGCTCACACCCTCGAAAATATCGATCTTACAGCAATTGAGGATGGGTGTGTAGGTGTCGGTACCATATCTATGATATACCCAGATTCACACTCACTTCACATTCTCAGCGGATCCACACCCACACGCAGCCGAAATTATGTCTGATATTTCGAGATCATCTGTTTTTAGGTTATGTAAGAGATAATCAGCTTGAGAGTATAAGAACGAGTATGAATAGGATACAACTACACTCATACACACATCCTCAATAGACTTCTGGAACACTCTGTCCTTCCTATATTTTATTTGTGTCTTTTAGAAAAAAATATATGTAGTAATCAATAATATATTTTATATGTTCTGACTTTTTTATCTTGATGATGCCCATAATGAGTTCGGTGTCACAGGAATATTTTGCATTGTGATTTCATATCGTAGAACTTCATCAGAACTACGTTCTTTAATTGAAGTCACTCGAAAAAGAGTAAATGGTAATAAAAGAACTTCATCTTCAGGTGTAAATTGTGATTCATTATGAATATCAATTGCTGTTGGACATATTTGAGTAAACTTGTATCGTATAATAACTGATAATTGATTATTATAACCTGGAGGTAGATCAGAAAATGCAAAAGCAACTGCTCGATCTTTAGATGTTGATTGAAATGTACGTGTTTCTATAATAGCTGCATGTTCATGAGCCCATCGATAAGCACGAAGATCATCAAAAGACATAATCATTCCTCGATAAGTTAAACGTCCACGATATGCAAGATCAGAAAGTTCATCTAGATGTAAATATAAGAGAACAGTATAAGCATCAGCATTTGATTGTAATGTACCAAATAATGGTGTTTGAAGTGAATAAAGTGTTAATAAAGATTTAACAGAATTTTTATTTAAAAACTCTTTATAAAGCATATGAGCACGTTGATATTGATTATGAGTTATTGGAATAGATGTTTCAATTAATCGTTGAACAATGATTTTACTTTCACTTTCTGTACGTGCATATAATAATAATTTCATAATTGGACTTGCATGCGATAAAGCTATCATTAATTGAGCATCTCGTGCATCAGCAGATGAAAAATAACCTGTAACCCAATCATCTGGACGATTCGTTTCAGATCTCGTATTTGTAATTAATCCAAATGATGAACGATTAGGACAAGTATCAATAAAACGATTAATTTCATTTGGTTGTTGAGAACGACGAAATAATGAGCGAATCTCATTTGAAGGTGATACATCATAAGCTATTCTATTCTGTTGATTTCGAATAATACGATTACAAACATTATTTTCAAGTAACAATCGAACAATTTCTAAATGATTATTTAAACAAGCAGCATGTAATGGAGTTTGTCCCGTATTAGGATTAATATAATTAATTTCATTATATGATAATAATGGCAAATATTCTCGAACACGATTAACATTACCATTACAACAGAATTGATAGAATTTATCTGCTAGATTACTTTGTAATTCTGTCGAATATTTTTGACCCATGTTAACATAAATTTCAATTCAATAATAATACGAAATTTTTTTTTCTTATTCTGCTACATGATTTTTATCGCCCGATGAAATTGTTTGCATAAGTTGTATTTTTTTTTTCATTCTTTTCTATGTTTATGTTTTTAAGCGACATAGAAAGAAAAATAATTTCATTATTAATTCAACTAGATTAAATGAGAGCAATTTTTTATCCCTGCATTGGATCACAACAAATACCTGGTTTCGTATTCAATAATCAAGATTATGAAGGACCACGGACAATATTTGCTCCTGCAGCTATTAGAGCACATATAAAATCATTTCATCAATTATTTATTATGATAGCATTCCTTTTGATGATGATTACATTTGGTATATTAACAATTATCATTGGTTATAGTAAAAGATATTCATGTTCAGCTTCTTATAGTGCACCTACAATATTAATTGCATTTGGAAAAATTGATCTTATAATTTGTAGTATTATTATAATAATCGTATGTATTAAAAAATCTAAATAAATCGAATTTATAATATTCTCTATAGGCAATTATACGAACAACGTACTGCCACAATCGAAGTGGTCTTTTATGTGGCTTGACTTTGATTGGACTCTCATTGTTGTCTATGGTATTTTTCATCGTACATGTTATTACTGGCGTTAAGTTTTTATTATATATCTTGACTATGAGATAATGTTATTTGTTTTGTTTTCTTGCAGGATACTCTGCTCATCAATTTTGGTAGTTCTTTGTATAACAGTAAAGATGAAATGAAATATTGTGATAATGCTGTACGTATTTGTATAATAATTATTAGCATATGCACAATGTTATCAATAGCATCGCCAATCATATATATATGGGTGATGGTGCTTAAATCAAAATGTAAAAAGACTGATGCGTCTAGCATACATTATACCACACTTATATAATATAATTGAGTTCTTATTCAAAAAAAAAATTTCGTTTTTACTTCAAGATAATAATAAATATTATTGATATAAATTCAATCAAAGATACTAAGTATATTATGTGTTTGCCCTCTACAGTTTATGATTAAATTCTTTTAAAACATACAAAAAAATGAATATTTTTAGTCGTAAAGTTGAAAAAATGTTCATTAGTATTTGATACTAAGTTGAAGAAATAACAGATACTTCAGTTGAAACGTTCATAATATTTTTTGAAGTCTCTTGGATTTCACTATTTCGTCCTTTTGCTACACTCATATATACAGAGACACTATTTTCTCCAAAACCTTGATTTTTCAACCAGAAACTGATGTTATAATTCCGTCCAACTATAGTATCTACTGCTTGTGATAACTTGATTAAAGAGAAAAAACTACTAGGTTCATATGAATAAGAACCTGAATGATTACTTTTGGTTGTTAATTCATTCGTTCGAAATTTTGCACCACATTCACAATATGCGTATAATGAACCACCTTCAAAGCTACCATCTTCAATTAATTCAATATTGTTTAAACTATCGTAAATAGATAAATCATCTAGATTCCATTGTGAACCTTCGTCGAAAACAAATGTAATAATACTTGTGTTCGCTCGAGCTATATATCCGTATGAAAAATACCAATATTTTTTCGATAATAGACTATCGAGTCTAATCAATAAAGTTGGATTTGAATCGTACGTTGCACATGATTTACCTTCAAAATGTTGACAAACAATCAAATGAAATATTAAAAGAAAAATATACCTCTTCCAGATTCTTTATTGCATGTGATATTCGATCCTGGGAACTCTGTAGATGTTGTAAACACGTTCGATCTTGTCGATGTTAAAGAACTTGGAAACATTGAAAATACTGTAAATCTAGTGGATCTTGTAGGTGGTATAGAATCTCTTGTAAAATAATATCCACCAGCAATAATAATGATAATTGAGACGATAATTATAGAACCAGCAAGAATTTCAAAATAATAGTGTGAATAGAACTTACGATTATTTCCCACTGGACCAATATATAATAATGGTTCATCATCAGATTCATCCGTAATCGGATTCATATTCACATTATTTATTTGACTAAAATCTGCAGATTCATTTGAAGATGTTGTTATTACTTCAGATTGAGAAATCTGTCGATCTTCAGAAGTCCCAGTATTAAAATGTTGTTGAGATGTGATCGAACGTATTTCATCTAGTTCAGTCATATCTAATGTCGCTTCTAGAATTATATATTATTGAATTATTTAGACGTGATTATGCTTCAGTCAATACAGTTTAATATTTTTCTTTTTCTCGAGAAAAAAAAAGAATTATTTGTCATATTCGTTTCTCTCACCTGAATAAAAAAACAGAAATTTGCATTTTAATAAGAGTTTATTTTTTCTTCTTTTTTTAAAACAGCAAACACGGTACTCTTCAATCTTTCAAATAATCATTGTTTTATTTTCTTACGCAAAACCAAAAAAAAAAATGCATGCTTAAATACTTTCAAATATCATAAAATCATTGTTAAATTATGTATAGTTCTTGACCCAAGGTTTAATAATCTTTTCATTCATACATTAGAAGAAGATATGGCAATGCCTTATTCAACACTTTTAGAATCATCACAGATTGGTAATCAAGCTTTAGAACTACAAAATCAAGGAAATAATGCGCCATACAGAACAACGGTTGTCGACACTGTTGCAACACATATTAGATCATTTTACCGACTTTTTATGATAATAATAATTCTTCTGATAATAAGTGAAATCGGACTTGGCGTAATTATTATAGCCTATACCAAAAGCATGTCTTGTCCGGCATCACGTAATATGTCTTTATGGCTCAGTATATGTGGAATAGTATATATAATCATGTGTGGATTTATTACGATAATCGTATGTATTCGTATATGAAAATTGAAATTTTTCTATAGAATTATATATTTTTTATTTAGATTATTTTACGTACTACTTGTTGTTATCAGAGATTTGTTTGTCTTAATAATCTTATTTATACTTCTATAGCACTTGTGCCTGTTATATTACTTATGACAAGATGGATAATACTCGTAAGATTTAATTCATTTTTCGATTTGAAAATTTTATCTTCTAAATTTGTTTTGCAGGTACCTGATCAAGAAACGGATGGTACATCATTTTTTCCAACTATAACTCAAATCAAAGCAAAAAATTGTAAAAAAATTATCGAGTATCTTGTAATAATTACTCAAATTATTTTTCTATCAATACCAATTCCAGTTTATTTTTTTTCAATTTACGTAACTAGTAAGAACCGTTGTAAAAAACATATTCGTTCAATAAATAACTTCACTACAACTATATAAAATAAATTTCAATTATTTATTTAAATAATATAGAAAATAAGAAAAATTATAATAAATCTTTTTAGTAATAACAATAAAAAATGTTCCTTAAAATTAAATGCTTTACTCATATATACAGTCACTTGATTATTATTAGGATATAATTCACTTTGAAGCGAAAAACTAATAGTATAATTACGTCCACTGATCGTATTTACTGCTTGTGATAATTTAACAGGTTTAAAAAAATTATCAATATAACATGCATAGGAACCTGATTTTACTATTGATCTTCGAACTTCAGTTGGATCCCTTGTCGAATCACATACACAATACTCATCTAATTTACCACTTTCAAAACCACTATTTATTATCAATTCAGTTTTATCTAATACATCGTATATAGATATATCATCTAGGTACCACCTCCAACCTCTAGCGAATGCGAATGTAATAATACTTCTTTTTGATAAAGCTGTATATAAGAATGAGAAATTATAATATTTATTATATACTGGTTTCTCGAAACTAATTAATACAATTGTTTTTAAATTGTATATTGAACATGAATTACCTAAAATATAGATATCTTTTCTTGTTAGTTATGTTTTGAATAACAAATATATATACCTGTTTCAGATTGCTTGTCACATCTTTTATTGAATGTTGGAGATAGTAATAACTGTTTTTCAAAGAATATTCCACCGGTAATTATCATAGTAATGAACATACATATTATGACGCAACTAATTATTTCAAGGTAATATTGAAAATAGAACTTACGATCGTTTCTTATTGAACCAATGTATAATAATGGTTCATCATCAGATTCATCAATAATTGAATTTATATTCATTTGAATAAAATATACAATTATATATTACCGAATTATTTAGACGTGATTATGCTTCAGTCAATACAGTATAATATTATTCTTTTACTCCAGAAAAAGAAAGAATTATTTATTGTATTTGTTTCTCTCGTCTTAATAAAGAAACAAAAATTTGCATTTGAATGAGAATTTTTTTTTCTTCTTTTCTTTTCAAAACAACGTACACAGTAATCTTCCAAATAATCAAAGACATATGTTTATTTTGTTAAATCAAAATATTCGAATCGTATATAAAAGAGAATTTGATCAGGAAGAACCTAAACGATGTTTAAGCGAAAATCAATCTGAATGATAACATTGCACATTCATATTTACGGTTATTATTTATCTAGGAGATAAAAAACATACATTGTCATGCGTATTTCAATTCTCAATGCAACAGTTTTTCTTTGTATCATCTGTAAAGATATGTCACAATAGATAGTTTTATATATAAATGAGTAATATACTTTAATGCCTCATATTTTCTTTCTCTTTACAAAAATATATGAAAAAGATAATTTCTTATCATTTAACATCTATAACTCTTTTTATCTTTCTTGTTATTCATTGTCCTTAAATATGATGACAGGGTAAAGTGTATTTTATATTGTTTTATTTTATATAATAGATCAAGAAAGAAAATCTTAGTATGAAAGTCTTTATAATATTTATATTATTCGTATTTATCCATAATTATGTTTGTGAACAAACAGATGAAAAGATCTTCGATGGTTCTGAAGCAACACCTCGTGCATTTCCTTGGATGGTTTCAGTACGTTTCAATTTTCTCAATACTTTCACAAGTACTTGTGGTGGTGTTATTATTTCTGACATATTTTTATTAACAGCTGCTAGTTGTTTCGAAGGAAGCGGAATGTATCTTACACAGTATTATACAATTAAGGCAGGCATACATTTACTTACAAATGGAAATGAATCAACAGAACAAATTAGTTTTATTTCTCATTATATTCCACATCCAAATTATATGTATAATGGTCTTCTTAATGATATTGCATTAGTACGAGTTTTACCACCATTTAAATTCGATACATTAAGTGTAGCACCTATTTCATTATCAAATTTAATATCAGTAGAAAATATGAATTTAACGACAATTGGTTGGGGTGCTCGAAATCTATCAAATCCTACGGTATTATCTTTGACTTTACAACAAGTAACTATACAAGAGAATGTTGAATGTACAAAGAATAAAATGAAAGATCCAACTACACAACTTTGTGCGACTGGTAAAAAACTTCTTTTTTTTGGTTGAATAAAAAATTCAGTTTAATTTTTTCTTTTGTCTATAGGGGCTTGTAAAGGTATGAGAATATTTATTTCGTTTTTCTCATTTATATAAAAATATTTTAATTCATATAGGTGATATGGGTGGTCCATTGATGATCTATTCAGATGATAAACAACAATATGAACTTGTTGGTATTACAAGTCATCGTAATGAATGTACTACAGAAGGTGTATATACTCGTGCTGCTCCTTTTATTGATTGGATCTCAGATATATTAGCAAATCCACCATCTACTCCAATGCCAATACAAACAATTCCATCACAACCGCCACCAGTACCAACAACTCTACCACCAGAAATACTTGGTATAATATATATTATTGAAAAATTATTCATAAAAAATAATAATATTATTATTTGAGGTCCTCCAATTCCATTTGTATGTGATACGAGTCGTTCATGTGGATGTTCATCAACACCAGTTGTCTTTCATGATGAACCACCATTTCCTCCCGTTCCAGAACATAATCAAGGTCGAATTGTTGGTGGTGAAACAGCTCAACCTCATAGTTGGCCTTGGGTAGTATCACTTCGACATCCTAGTTTTGGTCATGGTTGTGGTGGATCTATTATTAATAGTGAATGGATATTAACAGCTGCTCATTGTTCACCAAGTCTCTCATATATTGTTCATATTGGTGTTCATGATGAACAATCACCATCTTCTCAAATTCGTAATGTTGTTAAAGCAATCGTACATCCTCATTATATACCTTCACCTAAATTCATCAATGATATTGCTTTGATGAAAGTTTCACCACCAATTAATCTTACAACATCTGATACTCATGCTGGTCTTACTTGTTTACCACTACAAAATGATAATCTAGACTATCCAAAGGAAGACACACGATTAGCAGTAATTGGATGGGGTACATTATCTTCAGGAGGTCCTCGACCAACAAAATTACGTCAAGTTCGTGTTAAAACATTAGCACATGATGATTGGCGATGTATTAATGCAACATATGACGATACTCGACAATTTTGTGCTGCGGTTGATGGTGGTGGAAAAGATAGTTGTCAAGGTAAGATGATACAAGATATCTTCTTTCAATTAAATGTAATTTCTTCTTATATCTACTTGAAAGGTGATAGTGGTGGTCCGATACATCAATGGCTTGATGATCACTGGGAACAAGTAGGAATTGTAAGCTATGGTATAGGTTGTGCACTTGCAAATCATCCTGGTGTATATACACGATTATCATTTTATTATGATTGGATTCAATCTAATATTAATGAAACACCTATGTCATCAACTATAATGACTACATCAAATATTATTACATCAACAACAACTGAATCAAGTATTATTACAACAACAGCAACTGAATCTAATCAAGCTGTTGTAATAAAAACAAATTTATTTTTCACTTTAATTCTATATATTGCATTTCAATTCTTATTTTTATTATAAGAAAATTTTAAAAATACGAAAATAAAATATTATATATAAAAGCGTCTATTAAATAAGGATGGGTGTGGGTATGAATGAATGAGATACATCCAACACCCATTTACTACAAATGTAAAAACTAAAATAAAGCTTGAATATTTATTAATTTAAAAAAATGAGATTAAATCTTTATGCGAAAAGTGTTCCATCAGTAATAACCGTATTACTATCAATAGTATAATTTCCAAAACAAACATAATTAAAATTTGCCATAACACTAGCATTAGTTTGACTAGCAAGAAAATTATCTAATGGACATAAACCATCTGTTCTTCCAGTTGAACATAATCCACCTCGAATTGTATCTAATGGTAAAACTCCATTATTTAATTTCATTCGTATGAATTTATATGGTTTTAATACAGATGAAGATGAATATTCTGTATGTGATGAATTTATTGCTATTGGTACTGATGAAGTACATCCAATTTTTTCTATAATTAATCGAGCCGTAAATGGAGTCATACGAGATACTCGATAATGTTGATTTGATGGAGGAGGAAATATTGTTGATAAATTTTCACGAAAATAATCAATTGATAAAGCTGCTAATACACTAGCAATATTATTATCATGTGACATATCTAAATAAAATAATTGATCTAATGGAAATGTTGTTTCTGATGAATCAAGTGTTGAATTAACAGATGAATAACTTATATTAATTAATTGATGATTTAATCGTGCAATTAATTCTTGAACATATCCAATACCTTGAGCTCGACCAGTTTCATTTCCAAGTCCATATGTATTATAAAAAGCAAGATTTAATGCTTGTTCATAACCACGCCATTCATTTATTGTAAATAATGAACAAAAATCACTTGAACCAAGTGCTACATATTCATATGCACATAAAGATTGCATTGCAAATACATCAATATGTGTAAAATTTAGATTTAAATTTGTATAAGAAGAAAAACGATTCGCTGCATTGGCGAGAACTGGAGCAAGATAAGCATACATAGCATCCTGATCGAATGTAAATGCTGATGGTATAAATAAATTACGACAAGCAAGTGCACCATAGAGTGTATTATTATATCCGCTATCATAAGAAAGTTTTATAAGTGAATATTTATCTGTTGTATTGTATGGACCAAAAAATCCTGAAGTCCAAGCAAGTACGGTTTCGTAACACCGTTGTACGTTGCTAGTACGTACCAAGGGTTTTATTTGATTAGTTGCATTGTAATAGGGTTGACCAGATTGAGCATTGTATAAAATACGTCCATATTCATTCCAAAAATTGACTCCAGATTTATATCCATCAGCAGCACCACTTGGTACAAGTAAATCATTACTTATGTCTAATGACCAAGTTTTAAGAAATGAAAGTAAACCTAAGAAATTATTACGATTAGTAGAAAGAATTTTTGTTGTAAATCTTAGAATATTTCCACCATCGAATGCATCTGTTGTAAAATAACGCGAAGCATGTCGATGTAATATATGAACTTGTTCGACTTGACATTCATCAGGTAAACCTGTATCTAACACACCAAAGACTGTAGGTGCATTGTCTTTATATGGACGAATATTAGCCCAATATTCGGATATTTTTGTAATATCGCCTGTTACTTCATCATCAGAGGCAGTCGATGTACTACTTTCTAGAAGAAATTTATTATATAAGTATTATAAATATTCTTTCGATAGAATACATACGTAGAGTAATTAATAATGATACAAATTTAGTACGAGCTAAACTAAGTATTTTAGTTTGACATCTAATTGTACATGATCTATAAAATACTAATTCATAAATTACATTTAATCCATTATTTGCAGTATTTGTTTGACGTCGTTTTCTCTATTAATTTATAATAATAATAGTTAATATAATCCTACTATAAAATACAATCTAACTACAGTAGCTTCTCAATCATAAGTAATTTTATATATTTTTTAAGCAACAGTTTCTATCGATTTTCAACTTCCTTCTATCTTGTTGTAATAGAGCGTTACTTTTCTCTCTTTGAACATCATACATACTCGTGAAAATGTTGTAATCGTGGCATTGAGAATACGAATAGTTGATGAACCGAAAGATGTTTGATCATTTGATAAAACTTTTTGCATCTATATTCAAGAATAAAATCTATTATAACTAGTTGTGAATGAATACTAACCTGATTTTGAACAATATTTTGATTTGAAATATCAAGTGTTGTTCCGGATAGCAGGTTAGTATTTGAAGATAATTCAAGTAAAACATTTTGTGGTTTACTAGTGGGTAATAAAGCTTCATAGAACGGTCGAGTTGGTAAATAAGTTGGAATAAGTGAGAGTACAATTGTAGATCCAAGTAGAAATAAGACAAGACCAAAACAGCACATGAAAACCAAAGGGTTCGTATAGTCCCATGATCTTAATGATAAATAAATAATAATTATTAGGTATTCAAAACAGTGAATGTCTCAAATATCTGTAAAAACGAGTTTTTTTTATCATAATAAATCGCTAAATATTGATGACTCATCATTATGTGAGGAATAGATATCATCACAGAAGAGAGCATCTACTTCTAGATCATAGATTACATAAAATACCAATAGAATGTATTGATTCCTAATGACTTTTCATATAAATCTGGTAGTCAGACTAATCAGCCAAAACTTTCTCATCTTTGCCTTTGTACATTCAGTAGAACTGTAGTAATATGATACTCACTTCATTTAAGAATAAAAAACGTCCGTTTTCAATGAAAAAATTTGTATCGATGAACCGAATAGGATTTTAACTTTCACATATTTACTTGAAAACAAAAAACAGAAATCTTTGTAATGTCTATTATAATATATCAGTACAAGTAAATAAGTACGTAGATACTTTATTTTAAAAAAATATAAAATTGTACTTTCTGATCTGCACACTCTCTTCTTCTACACTATCACGTTAAAACACATGTATAAAAGAAAAAAAAATATCAAGGACAAAACGAAGAATACATATATATGACTATATCGTCATATTCATCAACCTTCTTTGGATTGATAGTCAATCTTGATTGACTGATACGTCGAAACTATTCAGACTTGTCTAATGAGATTGAATCGATAAATATCTAAATTAGAATAAAATATCAACAACAAACTCTTACGAAAATATTCACAGATTCTATCTATAATAATTCGCAAACATTCGATATGATTTGATTTCTTCTCTATTTACTTACCGAACTGTATTCGATAAAGCCTTCATTTAATTTGTGTCTACCACATGTTATTTCTATCTGTCTTTATACAGGTATAACATTCGTTATGATTCTTTTGTTTAAATACAAACCAATAATATCGAATCAAGAAAAAAAAAAATAAACGCGCTTTTTTTGTTATTTTAAATTATGAAAAAATGCTTGTTTTGTTCTTTTAATTATGTTTCGACGTTTATTTGGTGATTCAAAATCTAAAGATACTCGTTCATTATCTCGAACACGTCATACAAATGAACAAAATCAAGATGCACTTCGAACAATCGATCATTTACAACAAAGTGAAGATATGATGAATAAAAAATTAGAAAAATATGATGAAGAAATACTTGATTTACAAAATAAAGCACGACAATGTTTAACAAAATCGCATCCTGATCGTCCAGGTGCGATACGTTTAATAAAACGACGTAAACAACTTGAATTACAACGTGATAAATTATGGCAAATGAAACAAAATATTGAATTAGTTAATGAACAAGTTCAAACATCACATTTTAATCGACAAGTAACTGATAGTTTAAATATTGGTCAACAACATTTAAAACGTACACAAAAATTAATGCCAACAAAAAAAATTGAAGATATTATTGATAATATAACAGAACAAATGGAAATATCGAATGAGATTAATGATTTATTAGCAGCACCAATATTAACGAATGATTTAAATGCAATAGATTTTGATCTTGAAAATGAATTAAATATTTTAGATAATGAAATTCTTAAAGAAAATATGATTCAAATTAATTTACCTGATGCTCATACAGAAAAAATTCAAGTTTCATCAACGAATGATGTTGATAAACAACTAGCAGAATTACAACGTCTTACAACTGGATGAAAATTTTTATAAAATTATATTGATATTTTTTTGAGAATTTATAAATAAAATAATTATTATGACTAAATCAGACGATTTTGTTTTTTATTTTATAATAAACTTTTTTACATGAGTGGTTCAATCGATGATTATTGATATTTTAGTGATTTTTCTATATGTTTGATGAATATCGTAACATTATTGAGATATCCATGTTTCTAGAAATTGAAATGCTTTTTTTCATCAAAATTAATAACATATAACACTGTATTCGATTATATTACGTATGAGAGTAATTAAAATATCCATATTGAGATTCCTTCTATTATATTGAAAAATACATTCAATAAGAATTATTTATTGTCAGTTTTGTTTTCTTTATTGAATATTCAGTTAGTTTTAACTCAGATATAATAAAATATAATGAATAAAAAAAATAATTTGTCCTTATTTTTGAAATAATTATGGGGAATATTGGAAATAGCAGATTTTTGATGTTTAATTTCAAAGGAGTGAAATTTATTTGCCACCCTTTGATGCAGATGCGCTACCACTTGATGAAGATGCGCTACCGCTTGATGAAGATCCGCTACCATTTGATGGTGCTCCTGCTGGTGGTGCTCCCGCTGGTGGTGCTCCCGCTGGTGGTGCTCCCGC